CAGCGGGCCATAGGGAAGACCATAGCACGATGCTTGAGGTATGGAGTGTTCAGATGCGTCCGATGGCCGGTCTGTGCTTGGGATGTGACACACGCAATGCTCCTTCCCTGTACGCATGAGTAGGTGCACTATCTATACATGTCCGAGTCGGGCCTAGTGTTTGGGACATCAATATTGTAAGTAGGAAGCTGCGGCCTCGCTTTTCTCTCGCGCATCAAGCAAGCGCCTTGTGTTGTGACATTTGTACCTCTCTTTTCAGGCTGAAGTAGAGCAGTATGCTCACACAGGTTTCTCAGAGGCTAATCTGGTGCAATCCACTAGAGTAGGTTAGATCTCTGTAATAACTGTTTGTTTACTGTTTATAAACTGTTTATAAACGTTTACAACCATTTACTGTGTGTTTACGAAAAAAGTTTACACGTAAACTAAACGGTTGGAGCCTTAGGTTGGAGCCATGAAGTTTGAACAGACAATGAAAGAAAAATGAAAAAAAGCCGATGACCACCGCAGGGGTCGAACCTGCAATCTCCTGATTCGTAGTCAGACGCGATGCCATTTCGCCAGGCGGCCGACTTTGATGGAGCTCCGGGTAGCCATTATATCCTGCTCAAGAATACTAGAACATCAAAGGTTTGTTTCGAACTCAGTGCGTAGTTCAACTGGCTTGTATGCAAGAGCTCAGAAGAGCTGTCGCGCATGCCCTCTTCAGGTAATATCCAGTATATTTTGGCTATTTCATCACGCCGGGCGCTCATGATATATGCAGAACTCTATTCTGCAGCACACCAGGAGGCACTGAAAGCCTGTAAACGTGAGGTTGAGAGAAAGGAGCATGAGAAAAAGCGTGCGGAAGATATAGCGGACTGGCCGTTCCGCATTCCACGTGAAGTGATTGACATGATTCTCGTCTCTCCGGACCTCGGCGTGCGAGAGCATCTCGCTCTCGCTGCGACCTGCGCTGCCCTTCGTCGAATCTACCATAATAATATTATCTGGAACGAACTCATGCGGCTCCGAACTGTACCGTGGAACGGTCGCCCGCGTTATTTGGAGTACTCTGGCGGTCTGCGTGACGACCGCGTGCTGCACCATCTCGCTACCAGACCGCAGAAAAAGAAGGCCAATGGTCCATTCATGAAGGAACTCGCGGACCCTTATGGTGGTCACTCGGTCGCTGTACGGCAAGTTCTGAGGCATGTATGTACTCTGCTGTGTCCGTGTTGTGTCATCCTGTCTGAAATTATGTGCGATGCAGCGTATCCCGAAGGCGAAAGTCAACGAGCTGTATCCGAACTTGACAGAAACGCATCTGCGGTGGCTCAAGTATCATCCGGCATTCAAGGAAGGCTACCCGAATCAGCATACAGAGGAAGGTGGAATGGCTGTCTATCCGGGTACGCAATGGTTGGGAGAGCGATGGTCCGACTGCTGCGTCCACAGAGTCTGAGGCGGTGATTCAACGACGAAAGGATGAACATAGCGGCTTCGCCGTAGTCAGCGCACCTCCGGGCAACACGCCGGCCAATAATGCGGAAGCAGGTCCATCTAGTCCACCCACCAAACGCCAAGTTGCAGACTATTCCGAGGAGTGTGGTGATGAAAGAAAAAGAGTGCGCAGAAAGTGATGGGAGAGATGGGCGCGGAAGTCATGGCGTATTTTGGTGTTTGTGTACATGTCGACATGTGATTTTACTGCTGCTAAGCTCATTACAGGCTACATAAATTGAGCAACATAGGAATTCATTATATATGTATAACAAATATTTGTTTTTAATTGGCCCACGAATCGAGCTATGAAGTTCCATTGTATGAACTCGGAAGATTTTACATCGCCGAATTACGCATCACCCGCATCCCACTGCGACCGGACGATATCTTCTTCAGCCTCCTTTTCTTGTACAGCACCGCCCCCGCTGCGACGCCGATTGACAAATGTGCTGCCGCGTTGATGCCTGGGCGCGCAGCCCACTTCATGCACGCACGGTACAGGAACACGTGCGCGAGCGGCGCGGCAGCGAGCACCCGCGCAGAGTACTTGCCCGGATCGGGTATGCGATCTTTCCTCCTCTCTTTGGAAGAGGCGCTGTGTGTAGGGAATGGGTCGCGGAAGAACGTGTTCGAGAAGGTGTTAACGGGATCAGTTTCGGGGCCGGCTGCGCCTTGTCTCTCGGACCAGCGGCCGGATTGCCTTGTGCGCTCGACACGTCGGAGCAGTTCAAGGGCCATAAGAAGCAGATATTGTCGGTCTGCCTGCGCGTAGGGCCCGCCGTCAGCCTGCTCTGACCAGTCGAGCTCGCTGAGTTCGTCGCTGTGCGTCTCGGAGTCAAACTCGTCGTCGGAGACGGTGCAGTCGGAGCAGTAGTCGCCGAACGCATGGCCGCACGGTGCCATGTTAGGGCCGCCTGTAAAGAACGCTTCGTGTGCAGGTGATGGCGGGCGGTTCGGCACCGTCTGCTGTTTTGCGGCTTCTGAAGCATTGCTGTGCGTCGGCATGCTCACGGCCGGGTTGACGGCTTTTAGGGTAGAGTCTTGCACGACTCGAATGCGACCCACTATATACGTCGTATCTGTCAATTAATGAACTAATTTTCCTCAGGTGGCACGGCTCACCTCCATCGGCATCAACATGAGTTGATGGGCGTTGCTCTGTCAAGAAGGCGGGCCAGTCTTGCGGCCAGCCTGCTACCCATCAGTCGAAGCACGATAGCTACCAAAAGATAGGACACACCATCTAAGCAGAGGTCAAACAAGTCGTCGTGACTTGCGATGGCAACCTCAGCCTCAGATTCCTGCAAGCGGACGTCAGTCACTTCGGGTCGCGACAAATGGCTCCTAAGCATACCGCGAGAATATAATCGAGTAGATCGTCGATCGGGTCCTGGAATACGCGTCAGCACTGACCAGCGTCCAGAGCATACTGAAATATCGAGACACTTGCATGGTACAGAGATTGGGGCTCTTCTTGAATCTCGAGCTCGCTGACATCATCGTCAGCGCATACCGTCTGCGACGACGAGTCAGCTGCCCTCTCTGCAAAATCGTCTGATGATGACAGGCATCCATCGATATTGTCTGCCAGGATCTTCGTGAGCATCGCCTGATCGGAATCTGTCAGGCTCTGTTCGCGCGACCCCGCCGCAACGAGCCTCTTGCCCAAGAAAATTCGTCGTTTCATCTTGTAGTACCTCAGGAACAGGCACTGATCCCGCGGAAACTTGCCATCCTCTGGCACCCACTCTCGTGTTGGTCCGCTTCGCTGTTCGAAGGAGAGTGCGGCGTCCTCTGCGATCTCGATGCCGAACTCGACACCGGCCATCGACCCAAGCTGCGCCTGGATGGAGACTTCGTGTGCGCGCCCGCAGCTCGTGCACGCCGCGAGTGCCCAAGATGACGTTTTGAGCCAGCCGGACACGAGCACGATCTCGGACGAGTCGAGCGTGTGCCCGAGGGCGGTAGCGAACGCGTGCCACGCGTCATGGTACTGGTGCATGTACTGTTGGAACGCGGTGCAGCTTTGGAGAACCAGCGAACGGGTGGCGTGATCGCCGAGCACGACGAGCGCGCCCTGGTCGCTCTTGCAACTGAACTTGTAGGCGGCGCCTGCGCCGTAACTGGACTGCATGTTAGTAGGTAGGTCAAACGAGCAAAGGCAGCGGAACTCACGCAGAGGCCCCGCCACCGACTTTGATCTGGCGCATGGAGGAGCTGTGCAGCGGGCCTGGCGGCAGATAGTTGGCCGTGGTATGCAGCATCGCGGTTTCGTTGTATCGCAGCGGTACAAAGTCGGGTGGGACGCCAAAGTGGGCATTCACCGGATCATCTGCCGGACGAATCGCGTTGAAGAGGCGGTAAAAGCACCCCTCCAGGATGAATCCGACATCGCCGATGAGCACCTCGCCAAATTTGGTTGGTTCGGGCTGCCAGAGCGGCAGCCCGTGACGCCTAGGAAGAAGCTGGTTTGCGTAGATCTCTGCGGCTGAGGTCATTGGATGTTACAGCTGGCGAGAGACAGGTAAGAACCGCCTTCAAGAGACTGAGTTAGCGGTGTCTTGGCAAGCGCAGCTATGGGATATATACCTGATTTGAACGCCTGATGAACAACGTTGAAAAGAACGCCCAGCTATCGGGACAAAATGCCGATTTGAGGGCGATGCAGGTTCCTATGAATGCTGAGCAAGATCGCAGTCCGTTGAGCTCATGCTCATGCTCCCATGATATTAGAAGTTAGCCTCGCCTTCTTCCTGCACAGCCAGGTCGCCAAATGTGCAGCATACGTGGATTATAGACATACAGCTCGCGCTCGTTGCGAAGGCAACGTTATGGTGGTTGGTTTTTTTCTTCTATTTAGCAGCAATTAAATTGTTCTAAACAGATTACCTCTCCTTAAGTGAGCGCGTTGCGACTTACACCGTCGAAGGACATCGAAAAATTTGTGTCGTGTCTCAGGCAGTTTGCGGCCTGCAATCTTGCTGAAAACGTCGACAAGTATTCCGTAAAGGTGTGATTGGTGTGCTTCCTGGCAGATATCATTCTAGTGTCAATTGCTGCATTAACTGCTTGCTTACCCAGAGGTAAGTCGAGGCCGAGACAGTCTGACAAAGCGTCAGAGACAGACGGTGGTAAGCGCCCATGACGCACTGCCCTCAATTTCCGGCCTAATTACATCTCGCTCCCGTCTCCTCACTGCCTTCACTTGCATTCCCCGCCCTGGGCTGTGCGGGGCTGCCGAGGCCGTCGCAAAAGAGTACAAATACGCGTTCAACAGCTTTGCAGACGTCCTACGCGACAACGAAACTCCCACCATGACAGAAAAGGTCCTCCTCTCTGAGGAGTACGTCCAAAGCTGCTTCCACAGCTACCTCAAGTCTGCTCTTTCGCAGGCAAAGGCAGAGAGATTGCTTGATACAGAGCTATTGTCGAGTGCGGAGGGCGATTTGATGATAACTGGTGAGTGCTGTCTCCTCCAACTCGAGTACACACTTGACACACAGCCAGGACCCGCACTATGCCTGTACTTCGCCGCGCTCCGGTCTACCACCAACCCTCCATCTGTTCCCCTTCCCCGTACATCCAAGTCATCTGCACCTCCGACAGATCTCTCAACGGACAACTGCCCTGAGGTATTCAGGCCGTTCTTGGAAGTATGGGCCACTACAGTGCCGAGCATCCAAGCTCTTGCGCCAGAGCACCAGCACGACCTCGCGCGTGTCATCTGTGGTCTTTCCCCCGTTGCACGCTCACCGCATCCTGGCTTGAAAGCTATTTCGGCCGACCTCCGCGCTGTGGCCATTGAAATCAGTATGCGCCGCACCTTTCAGGACCGATACGCTTCGGACCTTCAAGCAGCTATTGACGCTGGCTCGCCGCAGCACGGTCTTTCTCGCGTGAAGGCCAGCTTTGTACCACCTCCGGTATACGAACCAACGTCACCAGTCTCACACACAACCTCGCTACATTCGCCTACCCCGTCCCAGTCGAGCCTACTGCGATCGCCTTCTCCATCTCCTTCCAGAAGCTCCTTCCGCTCTATCTCACCCCTTCCATCTCCCACAATCCTCGGCCCAGACTCCCCGGCAATAGAGCTTATCCGCGAGACGCTTTATGCTGCGCTTGCGGACGTGCTCGGACGAACGCCCTCGCTGCGGCGTCAGCTGCAGCGCGACCCAGCGCGGGCGTACTTCTCCTCTGTCGCGCTCGCGATCCTCGACATCTCGATGTCGTCCGTCGTGCCGGGCGACGCGTCGACGCACACGGAGCCCGCGATCCGGGGCGTCCTCGGCAAGACGCTCGCGCTGTCCGAGTGCCCGCGCGAGCTGCGGCCGTTCATGCAGGAACTGTGCGACATCGGCGACAGCGCACGGGAGGCCGCCGAGGACGACACGCTCGCGAGCGTGCGTGCGCTGAGCGAGGACCGGTCCGTACCCGAGCCGCGCATGGACCGCGTGCGCGAGATCCTCCGCGGCGGCGTCGGCTGGGCATACGATGAGCGTCACGAGCGCGACGCCGACGCGCAGGGCGGGCACGAGGTGCTGCGGGGCAACGGGGATGCCAACGGGGCCGTGCGTCCGGGTGACTCGCGCCGCCGGACGACGTCGACGGACAACCGGGCGGTCGCGTTCGCGAACCGCATCAATGCACTTGCACTTGCCATGACGAAGCTTCGCGCGTTCAGGGAGCGGCAGGAGGGCGTATTCAAGATCTTGGCTAGTGTGCGGAGCTGACAGCACAGTTATTACATGATTTATCTTAATGTTATTGACTTTTCCGTTTGCTTGCTTGTATTTCAGACGATATGTAGTGTCAATACCCTTGATCTCTCGTATACCTCGTATCCTACGTACAATTAACATAACATACCAAATTGTATTTTGCCTGTTGTCGTTCACTGCTGTGAAGATGGTGCTTCGCTCACGCCAGTGCAATAGCGGAGGTTGGCGTGTCTTAGGATCTGCTAAAAGATATGACGATATAACGGTTCCATCAAGACGTAATTAATCTCCTTTGCTTTATTATTGAGCTAAAGGCATCGGTTCACTGCAAATTTGAGAGTCCAACTCCAGAGTCCGTTCATTGCTGTAGAAGATGTGTTTTGCAATGTCAAAAGGCACGGGCAAACCGCTGCTAGTAGATGATATCGATGTCTTCTTTGTGCGCGTCTTTGTGCGGGGTTTTGCGTATGTCGTCATTCACGCACACGAAGGTCACTGTACCAGGACGTCAGGGTTGAACGACACTCCGACTTTCGCGCCCTTACCGCCGTGCTTGCCTAAGCGGACATCGATGCCACGAGATAACATTTTTTTCATAACGTTCCCCTTCTTCAACCCATCCGGGTGATTGTCAGGCTATGGGAAGCACATGTGAGACGTCTAGACTAGTTCTTGGGTAGAAGTGACTGACCGGGAAGACGGAGTGAAAATCTTCATAGCAGGCTACGGCAGCGGTCGCAGTGGAGTAACGCTGAAATTTGAGTTCAGTACCAACGGCAGGATTACACATAGCCAAGGATGACTTGTCGCCAGGATTAGATCGAACAAGTAATCTAGGGGATCAGAGAGCTGGATAAAGCTCAGAAATGACACCCACAGAACGTCAGAGGGAGAACGCACTGATAAGCGTCGATTATCGCATTTTGCGCTACGACCTCCGTTACTGAGGCGACCCCAAATACGGGAGAACAAACTTCCGCATGGGATTGGCTTGAGCCTGTAATAGCTGAGGAATAAACACCGATTGCACGGTGGTTCTGGCTGCTCCGCCGCTGCTCCAGGCGTTGAGAACCGGACGTCGTCAGCTGGACCCCGGCGGCTTTGCATAAGCATGCGACCGCGTGTGCTTCCAGATAGCTTCGGGTGCCAACAATAGTCAGCAGCGAGAGTAAATGAAAAAAAAAAATCGATTGCAGAGCCAGAGTTCGAGACGGCCACCCACTTGGTGGTCTTCAATCAACCGGAGACAAGGACAATCACCTCTGAACGGATAGCAAAACCACGCTTAGTCGCGAGCTCGTACCAAGACGAGTGGTGTTTCGCAACGTAGTCGTGGAAGCAGCGATTACTCCTGTACCCCTCCCGAAGACCGAAGTCGCGGAGAATAACAGTTGCGCCCGGCCGTCAGGACACTCGAATGTGTAAGATTCGCCGACAAACTGGCTGAGATAATAATCTTGAAACAAGGATGTGCAGATTGCAAGCGTGTAGGACTGACGTAGCGTCTGAGGTCCCTGTATTAGTCTTTGAAAAATCGCGTTGGGCGTGTAGATCGGGCCCGGAGAGGTGCGCTCAGAATAGAAGTCTTCCTCGTTCGCCTTCAGTACTACGAAGCCACTTGGTACACCGTGAGCGTTGAGAGGACCACTGCTCGGACGCATAGCGTTGAACAGTCGTCCGACCCCTCCGAGACGAAGCCGACATCTCCAATCTCGACTTCATAGGTAATCCCGGTACCGAACTGGCTGAGCTCGGGATGCCACAGGGGAAATCCATAGCCGCGACCTGCTAGCTGCTCGGCGTAAGTGGGCCAAGCAGAAGTGTCCAACATGGAGGGAAATTGGACTAAAACGTGCAAAAACCTCGAGTCCGGTGTGCGATGCACAAGATGTAGATGGAGAGCGAATCCTTTTCTCTAACTCCACGAATCCCAGTTAGGTGCATCCGCCCGACATACCTATTACTCCTGAGCAGGTTCGTTTGCTGACTCCAAATCCTGAACGGGAGGCTGCGAGCCGCCTCTAGTTCATAGTACGTGTTCGTGGGTCGTTCGGCTCGTATAAGTTGTCATTTACATAACCTCAGCATGGCATAGGGATGTGGCATGAATCATAAGGTGGTTGTGCTGGACCTGACGCGTTCGCGGCCAGGCCCTCATGTAGCAGTAGTTCTACGGGCCTTTATAAACAAGCGGAAAAAAAGGACGCGTTCGCGGCTCCTAACTCCGCTTCAAAACCCGCGGATATGCTCTCGTCACCCAACCCAAGTTGACCACTTCTGCATGGCTTGTCTCGTCTCGCTCGCGTCTGATTCCGTGTTGTATCGTCCCCAGAGTTGCACCACTTTACCAGCCCACCCCTACTAAGCTCATGCACGGCCACACGAGACTCGGTCGCAAGCACTCGCGGCGCGCATGAACCGCTCTCGGGTGCCCGCACGAGATCTCTGTCCAGGCTCAGCTCTGCTTGTTGGTCAGAGTACAATTATGTACAGAGGTGTCGGGGATGTCAGCTTGGTATGTTCGCCTTTTCCTCGCCGGGGATCTCAAAGTGAAAAGTCTGACACGTTTCTCACAGGTCGCCTTGACACGTTCGATCTGTCCGCCCTTGACAAGTACACGCGACGACATTCTCGAGGAAGACTCCGTTGCGAATGCACGCGCACGCAGAGAAGACAGAGTCGTGTCCAAGCCGTGCGCGAGATCCTCCGCAGAGACATCGACTGGGCGTATAACGAGCATCACGAGCACGAGCGTGACGCCAACGCAAGGACGAGAGCAGTGCGTCATGCGCTGAGAAACGTCGTCATGGGTTAGACTGGCAATCCCTGCGACTGGGCGACTCGCGCCTGTGAACGGCATCAATTTGACAGAGATCGTGTGGTTGTGCTCGCGACCCGCGCTTGTATTTGCGCTCGCTGGGACGAGTTTTACCCGTCCAGGCAGCCGTGGGAGAGCGTGTTTGAGGTATTGGCGAGCGTGTAGAGCGTACTATTGACTCTGCACGTAGCGGCGCGTCTTCTATCCGCTTCTCAAAGTCTGGTTCCTTACACGTCTTTGGTTCATCTTGCCGGTAGAGAACCTCATCTGAGCATCACACAAGGCGTATTTTTCGCGTTATCATGCTTCAAAGAACCATACCATGTGCAATCAATGACACTTGGCTTTCCCTGGTAAACAGCTGGGGTTACGTGGCTCGTCCGCTCCTTACGTGCTTGGCTTTCGAGAATAAACGCACCCGGATATAGCCGGACGGTGGTATTCATTGTATCTTTCTGCCAACAAAGACCGTTATTCGAGCTACATGACTCATACACTGTCTGCAACACCCCATTACGGGGATTTACGACGCCGGACAAGCCTTATCTGTCAACGTGTTGATGGTAGTCGTTGGTGGGTTAACGATCGCAGTGGGAAGAAATGGCCAATATCTGGGCGGTCGTTTGGACTTGGACGGATGGTTCAGCGGCGACCACCATTCGTCGCCTTTCTCGTTTGTGTGTGCGCTCGGGCTTTCGCCGACATCATTCCCGGAGCTGGACGAAGTAGCTGTTTGCGGTTCGTCTTGACTTCGGGCACGATTGACTGCGCTCCACTGAGCCCTGTCGTGGGCTCGGCGGTAAACCTTCATGCCCCAATCGCCTCAGCTTATAGACTGTAAGGTCGAGCTGTCCTCGAACAGCAACTCGTCGATGCATTGTTGCAAAGAGGGAAGCACCTGGCCTTGCCGGCGCCGCGGATTGGGGGGGATGCCCGCGGCCCGAAGCTCAATGAACTTGCGGAGGAAGGTGAGCTCGATATTGTCGGTCATGGTGTACGGTGGGCCCTCGATCGCTCCTTTTATCATGAGTAGCTCGAGGTGCGACATGAGGTTGTCCTTCAGCTTCAGGAGCCGCTCTTGCAGCTCTAAGTGGTCCTGGTCCCCGCGCGCCTCAGGGCCCAGCGGCCGCCGGGCCTTGCGCCGGTACAACTCGGATAGCTCCAACGCGCGATGGACCTCGTTGCCCAGGATGCGGTACCATTCGGTTGTCTGGCGGTTCAGCCTGACAGGGAGGACGCCTGGCTTGGCGCGCAGCTGGAGGATTGCGCGACCCTTGCTGTCTGGGGGACCAAGGACGCCCTTCCACCCCTGATTGCCTCTGATGACGCTGCGCTTTATGGCGTCAAGTTTGGGTCGTTCGTTATACGTTGCATTTACAAGAGTGTGGGAACTGTTCGCCGCGGCTGTGTACCAAGAGGCGTCCTCAGATAAATTTCTCGTGACCATAGGTCGAAGATGAAGCTTACGATCTGAATCCCAAACCTTCGAGAGATCTAAGTTTGGAACAGCTGCAGAGATGCCTGCTGTGGTTTTTACCTCTCTCTCATCAGGACAGTCTCCCTGGAGAGTTGCCTGAGGGTCACTATCTTCATTTACGAAGGCCACTGCATCAGGAAACCAGAATTAAATGGCCATTGAAAACTTGAAGTTTCAGGCTTTTACCTCCATCCTCGTTGCAGCCGATATCAAGCCCCGTGCTCAGTTTACCTTGCAAGGTGATGTCTCGCATGTCATCTGGGTACTTGTCAGGCTAAGAGAGAGTATTATAATAAGACCCCAGCTCTTCAGTAGAATCAACTGACCGGAAAGATCGCGTATAAATCATCATGACAAAGCACAGCAGCGATCGCGTTGGGACAACGCTAATGTTGACTTCAATATCTACAGGAAAATATGCGTGATATAGTGTTACATTACCTCCAGAATCAGGTCCAGCAAGTGGTCCAAGGGATCAGATATCTTGACGGTTTTCAGAAATATTATCCACGGAACCTGAGGAGAGAACGTACTGATGTGCGGTACGCAGTCGCAGGCTCTTCCTCTATTTCAACGCACTCGTTTTCTGTGCCGCATCCTCCCGAAGTGCCATCATGAGAGTCCTGCGGGGCCGTTACACATGCTGAGGTCGTGCTGGAACGCGATGTGCTGGTGTTACTTGACGAGGTACCAAGGTTCAAGCTGCTGAAGAAGCTCCAAAGACGGGAGGATAACCCCTGGGGTAGGCCGCCATCGCCTGGGCGGGGCGGCTGGCGAGAGGACGAATGCTCGTCGCCGGGCCCTATCATATCTTTCGCGTCTGCTTTCACGTTCACTCTGGGCCGCATCCCCAGAGCGCGTGACTTGTGCTTGTAGTACCTGACGAACATACATTGGTTACAAGGTGGCTTCGGCCGTCGAGCTGGAGAACCCCTGGGAGCCTGAGGATCAAGCGTCGCATCAGATGGATCGGGCGTCGCGGGCTGGTCTTCGTTGCCGAAAACTGGGCCTGAGCGCTGCTCTACAGACATTTCAACGTCCGTACCTCCAGATATCTCGAAATTTGCGGAGGCATATGAACCAGCGGATGCGGTAAATGAAAAGTCGTGCGCTTTGCCGTAGTTAGAGACGGCTGCAACCGCCCACTCGGTGGTCTTCAGCCAGCCAGAGACGAGGATAATCGCCTCAGGCGGAACAAGATAGTCTTGTTCGACTGCGAACTCATACCAAGAGGAGTGGTGTTTCGCAATGTAGTCGCGGAATCTTCGATTACTCCTGTGCCCTTCCTGATGACCAAAGTCGCCAAGAATAGCGACTGCACCCCGGCTGCTATGGCAGTTGAACGTGTAGGATGCTCCGGCACAGTGGCTAACAAGAGCCTTATAGCAAGGAGGTGCGAACCACAAGAGCACACACTTACGTGGGGTCAGAGATCCCCGCACCGGCCTTCCGGGAAGTCGTAGATGTGGTGCAGATCGGGCCTGGAGAGACATGTGTCGGAGCGGAAAAGGAGTGTCTCGCATTCGGCTCTAGCATCACGAAGCCTTTTGGTACGCCTAGTGCGTTGAGGGGGTCTTGCTCAGGGCGCATAGCGTTGAAAAGTCGGATGAACTGCCCCTCTGAGACGTAACCAACGTCTCCGACCTCAATCTCGCCGTGCTCTGGGGTAGGCTCGGGATGCCAGAGAGGTAACCCGTAGCCGCGGCCTACCAGCTGATCAGCGTAAACAGACCATGCACAAGAGTCAGACATAGAAGGGGAAAGGAGCCAGAAGATGTAGCATGGTCAGAGCTGGAAAATATTAAGTTGTAGTATATCATTTACCGTGGGACATACGGTGACGACCGAAGATAGTGTATTCGACTAGACGCCGGTGCATAAGTTCCACTCCACGGTCGGTCTCGCCACGTTTGGTCTCGGCTTTCTGTGTACAAACTGCTTCGACAATTTGCAGGCAAGTCGAATATATACACAGTTCCATGTGCACACAATCTCAAGCTTAGTTAAGAAAGCATGGGAAATGACAAGCCAAAGCCCGAAAAGCGCCGACCTAGTCCGCCAGAACAATCACTCTCCATAGCTCGACGTGCCTTCGCCAAGCCCTCTCCTGAAGGTGACAACCTGGTACTCTAGCTCCAGCAGGTCTGTCCCGCCCACATGAGCAACCCTCCTGCTCGGACGACATATGTCTCAGCTGAAGCTGCTACCCGCAGGACTACGGCTCTCACCTGATGTTGGCCCGTCTGGCATACGGCTTCTGCTCCCTCACGTACTCTCTGATCGCCTCCTGATGCATCTCGCGCGCGCCCGACTGCGATACCTCGGGTAGTTCCGCTCTAGCTCTTCCAGTTGTTCCTTTGCCCCTCTCTTGTGAAAAGGATCTCCGAGGGCTGAGTCGGCCTGGGACCAGATGAGTCGCGGCAAGCGCAAAGAGGACGGCAGCACAACTCACGGTGAGGTAACTTCCGCAACCCCAGCAGGTGCAGACAAACTGTCGCTTAGCAAATTAGTTGTTTGGGCATCATGGAAAAGCATAGCAAGTCCTCAGTAGCAGCGTGACTTTGGTGAAGCTGCGCTGAATCCTCGACTGGGGCCATTTCCACGCTTAATCTGAGACATGATTAGAGCCTCCACTATGCTGCCAGCGTCATTACTCACGGAGCCATGTTGTACACGCCGGTTAATTGCTGCTTTGTTTCCGGAGTCTTAGGACGCGCTCGAGGGAGCGCCTCCTGAAAGTCATCGGCATCTACTAGGTGGCGAATCAACAGGCTTCTCATGACCCTAGGTTTTATTTATTTATTAAAAAAGACTTACAATCAGAGTCTTCAACGACCGACAAGCTCACTAGAATCTGAACAGCTGGGACTACTTCCGGTGCGGCATTAGCATAGATGGCTGATGTGATGTTACTGTCATCAACGTCGTCCTTGTCAGAGTCATCTTCCGAGAAAGCCGCATATGGATTACTATCACTACCCACGAAGGCCACTACGTTAGGACGTCAGACTTGGAAGAGCTTCCAGAGCTTGCGGCCCGGCATTCTTACCATTGGCTTTATCAAGGTGGACATCAAGGTATTGAGTCAGCGTCTCTCGCAAGGCAGCATTTTGTACGCCATCTGGATGAGTTTCAGGCTGGGGTGCATGCGTGAGACATATCAAATTGGCATTTAGACAGGGACAACTGACTGGGAAGACGGTATAAAAATCGTCATGACAAGCCACGGCAGCAGTTGCGTCGGGGCATTGCTGGGATTAAATTCAGCACCAATAGGAAAGCTATACATAGACGAGGACGACGTGCCTCCAGGAGAAGATGCAGCAAGTCGTCCAAGGGATCGGGTATCTGAATGAATACCAGGAATGGCATCTGCATAACTTCCGAAGTAAAACGTACTGACGTACGAGACGCAGTCGAGGGCTCTTCAATCGTGTACGCGCCTTCTGTGTTGTAGCCTCCAATAGCGCTATGCCGAGAGTTCTGCAGGGCCATCTCGGGCACCGAGGATATGTCATGGGTAGGCTTGCCAGGCTCGCCAGGGCGTGAGCCGCCGAAATCGTTCGGTGAGGTATCCGATCGCGAGCCGCCAAAGAAGCCCCACAAGCGGGAGGATGGCCCTTGGGATGAGCCACCTCCGCTTGGACTGGGCGGCTGGCGAGAGGGCAAGAGCTCATCGCCAGGTCTTATCACGTCTTTCGCGTCTGCCGTCACGCCCACTTTACGTCGTACTCCTAGCATCCATAGTACCTGAGGAACAGACACTGGTCGCAATGTGGCATCAGCCGCCGCACCGAAGGATACTGGGGGCGATTGGGCGCCGTAAGCGTGCGCCCGTTGTCGAAGACCGGACCCGACCGCTGCTCGACGGACATTTGGACATCTGTACCTTTGGACACCTCAAAGCCCGCGGAGGCGTATGAGCCGGCGCATGCGGAGAATGAAAACTCGTGCGCTTTGCCGTAGTTTGAGACAGCGGCAACTGCCCACTCGGTGGTTTTGAGCCAGCTGGAGACAAGGATAATTGCCTCAGGTGGAACGGGGTAGCCCTGCTCGACAGCAAAGTCGTACCAAGAGGAGTGATGCTTCACAATATATTCGTGGAAGTCGTGTTACTCCTGTATCCCTCCTGATGACCAAAGTCACCAAGAATAGCGATCGCCCCTCGGCTGCTATGACAATTGAACGTGTACTATGATGCCTTAACGGATTGGCTGCTTATAACTTTAGGGTGACGACGTGCGGGTCACAAGAGTGTAGCACTCACGTAGGTCCAGGGATATCCGCCTTAGCCTTCTGGAAGGTTGTAGTTGTTGTGCAAATCGGACCCGGAGAGACATGTGTCGGGGCAGAAAAGAAATGTCTCCTATGTGGCTTCAGCACCGCGAAACCCTTTGGCACACCGCCCGCGTTGATGGGGTCTTCTTCAGAGTTCATAGCGTTGAACAGTCGAATGAACTGTCCCTCTGAGACGAAGCCAACGTCTCCGACCTTGATCTCACCCTGTTCTAAGGTGGGCTCGGGATGCCACAGCGGTAGCCCGTAGCCGCGGCCTACCAACTGTTCTGCGTAGACAGACCAGGCAGGTGGATTGGACATGAAGGAAGAGCACAGCGGGGGAGTGCGGGTTTGAACGCCAAGCGCGTAGCAATTAGGGGTGTCTGAACGAATTCTTGTTCAGCTACACGATTGAACGCGTGGGAGATATAGACCATACCTATGGTGACATACTATCTGCTACCTGCGATCATCCTTCTTCAAAATCGAGAAGAACCGCACCACGTTCGAGGTCTAGATGCCGCGTCAGACTCTGCCGTAAAACACGAATGCACGAACAGCAACGAAGTATGTTACATACGTCCGCATCGACCCGGTCGCTCGTTCCGTCAAAGCAGTGCACGAGCGTCCTGGCGAAATGCGTGGGCAGAATGGACGAGTTCAACGACTTCGTGCTGCCTTGCTTCCTCCTGCTCGAACATCCGTCACTCCAGGCATGGCCTGCATATAGAAGGATCAACAGACGGCCGCCGACGTATCGCTTAGCCTGGTTGCAAGGTGCGCAGCGCACCCTGCAACCAGACGAAGTAATGCGCATTGTGCAGGTTATTTCCGGGCCTTCCAGTCTGATTCGCACTCCCATAGACACCCGGTAGTTCCCCTGGCAGACAGAGATCGGCGGCTCAAGTAGGCCAGACGCGACGAGTACATGCAGGAGAACGTATGTCGAAGGCGGTTCTAGACCGAGGTCAAGCCTGGGAGAAGACGTGACAATGACAGAGAAAATACGCGTGACGTCACAGGCTATCGTCACATCCCACCAGCTCTGGATCGTCACGTCTTCGTACGCGGTCTAGACTCTGCTCACACAGCGTGGACGAAACCATGCAGATGGTGGACGCTCGTACGACACAAGAGCGGTTGTTCCAGCTCAAGCATCGCCTTGACAGCCTCTACCGGATGGAACGGGACTCCCGTCGGTGCATTGGTCCCAAGTTCATCGAGTAGCCCACATGTTGACCACATTCTAGATGTACTATTGCAACGTTTCGATTCGGCAAGAGGTGTGCACGCTCGCTCTCTCTAGGCTCAGAAAACTCAAAAGACACTAAAGACACTAGCCTCCCTGTCTGAAATAGAATCAGTACGCCCTCTACCTGCCCAGACCACTGCCGAGTAGCCCAGCGAGTACACACTCCTTGCGGCTCCAAGACGTCGTTCCAGCTCTTCCTATTCATGACATCCACGGCAACCGGGGTGGGACCTTCGAATTAAAGCGCAACTGGTTATAAATACGCTAGCTCCGCGGTCTTCCAATCGATGCCTGCGCGAGTAGCGAGCGAAGGGGAGACAAGCAGAGGAAAAGCCGGACGGTGAGTAGCCTGCCAGTTCCCGTCGTTCCTGCATCCCTTACATACACAGAACAGAGTCGCTTATTGTACGATATAATCTGTCTCCAGTCCAAACTGTACAGAATCAGCCTGAACAATCCTGGCAGAAGCAAGCCCAGTATGTATCCCAGCTCGAAGATCGCAACTGCGCAAGCCGTAGCCAATCGGAACAGATGTGTTACCTGTGGGTCTCTATCTGCGCGCTCTGACCAGTCTGTTGATGGACAGCCAGGCGACAAGGAGGGGCTCGACCACGGGTGAAGACGAGGATGAGCGACGGTGGATCTGGATATGTAAACCGTGGCAGAAGGCCGTCCTGAGGGGTGCTGGGCACATGATACTCACAGGATGTGCGGGATGTCGCTGAGCTACCTCTAGGTTAGAGCTGTCAATGTTCTCGACGTTGAATCGACAGCCATAGGACCGCAACCCACTCAAGAAACGAAGCACACTCGATACAGCACCGCAAGCTGGACCTTCTGTCCAATCGATACACTCACCGTCCCCGACTGTGCAGCTCTGGGGCTAGGGCAAGCACTCATGCGCTGCCCTCAAGACAAACTACCGAGCATGTATCTTAGCTTGCTACAGTAATTCATCTATAATCTCCCTTCGCGTGCGGGGCTAAACTCGTCACCAGTCTACTTGGTAGTTGGTAAGAACGCTGACTGAGAGTGGGACGGTGATCGGCTCGCCGCAATGGCTACCTCCGCGTGAGGCGGCTGGTAAGTATTCCGTGCAAGGTGGCTGGTATCGAGACTAGCAGGGGGCATTGGAATGTGAACACCATGCCCATCTTCGCCAGGTCCACCCTTAAATCAGACAAGTTGATGCTCTCCCTCCAACGGATTCATCTCGCCCGCGTGAGCGACTTTTCTGCTTGGAATACATACGTCTCAGCTGCGCCACTGCTTGTGTTTCCTTCGCGTACTCTCTAATCGCCTCTTCGTGCATTTCGCGCGCCCAGCTCCTGTACCGCGAATCGTTCCGCTCTAGCTGTTCCAGTTGGTGCTTCGCGTGTTCGGTGAATTGGATCGCTACACTTGAGTGACTCGACCTGCCACCAAGTCAGCCACGACAAGCACGAGACTGGCACACGACCGCATGTGTTTCCAGCGTTCTCAGATACTTAGCTTTGGGTCACCTTTCGAACCAACACTCTGGCTTACTAGTGTCGGTGCCGGAGCTCCCGAGTCCCCCCTCTCGCTTGCCGCTTGCGCACATGCATGTTGAACTCTAGGATCTCAAGGCAATCACTTCGCACTGGTGGCGCGACATTTTTGTAGCCTGACAATCGTATTCAAGCTCGCGGCCGGGCCATTGGTCGTCCAGGGCTTTCCGGGTGTGCATCCGCAAGTACCCTGTGCTCCTGAAAACCTTGCCTTTTGCTCGCCGCACACGTCTCTGACCGGTCATTACCATCTTTTTCATCACCCCCGCCACCCTTCATCTCTCGTTCTGGATAGACTTTACCGGCGGCCACATGCATTGCAATATCATAATAGCCACCGAGAATATCTCGGCGGCATTGCATACTCTCTTTCTCTCCCGCAAGGGAGTCATCACCTCCGTATCCTTGATTCCTCATCTTTTATATGTACACCAGAAGATTTTTGTGCAGTTTATGCAGCAGAATTTGGCAGGAATATGTGCATAGTTATCACGCAGGGTGCGCGAAATTGTCATGGACGCCTGTCGCAGGCAGCTGCTGATCAAAATCCGACCGCGACGTTCCCGCACTCTTTGGGATGGGTCCAATGTCGACGCGGTCGTTTTTCGTGGCCAAGTACGACGGCGTCTATTTTTTCTGGTCTTGAGCGTCGACGGCTGCGCTGTGCTCAAGAAGGATGCGTTTGATGCCACTATGACCACGCATCATGGCCAAATCCAGCGGCGTCTGTCCATCCTTGTCTTGAGCATCGACGTCCGCACGGTGCTCGAGAAGGGCGCGTGCGATTTCGACACGGTCGTTGAACGCGGCCGAATGCAGCGGCGTCCGTCCATACCGGTCTAGAGCGCCAACGGCCGCACGGTGCTCGAGAAGGGCGCGTGCGATTTCGGCATGGCCTTTTCGCGCGGCCGAATGCAGTGGTGTCTGTCCGCCGTGCTCTTGAGCGTCGATGGCCGCACGGTGCTCGAGAAGGGCGCGTGCGATTTTTACATGGCCGTTTTCCGCGGCAAAAAGCAGTGGCGTTCGTCCGTTCTGGTCTTGAGCATCGACGTTCGCACGGTGCTCGAGAAGGGCGCGTGCGATTTCGGCATGGCCGTTTCGCGCGGCCGAATGCAGTGGTGTCTGTCTGCCCTGGCCTTGAGCGTCGACGGCCGCACGGTGCTCGAGAAGGGCGCGTGCGATCTCGACATGGCCGTTCTCCGCGGCTGAATGCAGTGGCGTCCGTCCGTCCTTGTCTCGAGCACCGACGGACGCATGGTGCTCGAGAAGGGCATGTGCGATTTCGACATGGCCGTTTTGCGCGGCCAAATGCAGCGGCGTCTGTCCGTCCCGGCCTTGAGCGTCAACGTCCGCACGGTGCTCGAGAAGGGCGCGTGCGATTTCGACATGGCCTTTTCGCGCGGCCAAAAGCAGTGGTGTCTGCCCGCCCTGGTATTGAGCGTCGACGGCCGCACGATGATCGATAAGGGCGCGTGCGATTTTGACATGGCCATTTTGCACGGCCAAATGCAGCGGCGTCTGTCCGTCCATGTCTCGAGCGTCAACGTCCGCACGGTGCTTGAGAAGGGCGCGTGTGATTTCGACATGGCCGTTTCGTGCGGCCAAATGCAGTGGTGTCTGCCCGCCCTGGTATAGAGCGTCGACGGTTGCACGGTGCTCGAGAAGGGTGCATGCAATTTCGACATGGCCGTTTTGCACGGCCAAATGAAGCGGTGTCCGTCCGTCCTTGTTTCGAGCATCGACGGCCGCACCATGCTCGAGAAGGGTGCATGCAATTTCGACATGGCCATTTTGCACGGCCAAATGCAGCGGCGTCTGTCCGTCCTTGTCTTGAGCGCCGACGGCCGCACCATGCTCGAGAAGGGTGCATGCGATTTCGACACGACCATTTTGCGCAGCCAAATGCAGCGGCGTCTGTTTGTCCCGGCCTTGAGCGTCGACGGCCGCGCGCGCAATGCCGAGACGGCCACTTCGTGCGGCAAAATGCAATGGTGTCCGCCCGGTCTGACTCTGTACCTCGACAGCTGCGCCATGCCCGAGATCGCGGGGGTGCCGAGGAACGTTCTGTTCCAGCTCTTTCAGCTGTCGCTCTGCCTGCTCTGTGGAAGAGATCTCGACATTTGGCTCTGTCGGCCCGGACCTGCGGCCAATAAGTCTCGGAAAGCGCCACAAACCGGACGGCGCAACTTACACATTGGGTACGCCATGGGTAGAAAGGGACGAGCTCTGAGAGATGGGGTGGAGCTGGGAAATAGACATTGGAGTAGGCTTCTCCCGGGTCTTCTGAGTGTTATGACGCTTTAGAGGCTCTAAGTCCACAGGTTGCAGCGACTCATTGGCGCTCTCTACCTCCGCTTCGATGAGAGTGAGTTGAATGTTCGTAGACACAAGTTGTGGAAATCACTTACGGTCAGAATCGTTATCTGGGGTGTGCTCCGCATCTGCAGCGACCGAGACCGTCTCTGGCACTGCATGAGCGGAGATATCCGATGTAGCGCGAGTTCGAATGGCGATGTCCTCGTAGGTATTGACTTCTTGGGGAGCTAAGTCAGGGTTACCACCCTTACTGATAAAGGCCACTACGTCGGGAGATCAGCGATGATGATACTTGAAAGTCTGGCATGTCTTACCGCCGTCTTTGTTCAGCTGAACATCGAGGCCTTGGCTCAATTTCTCCTGTAAGTCTGCTCTTCTAACACCCTCGGGATACTTTTCAGGCTAGGAGAGAACGTATGAGACATTACCACTAGCTCTGAAGTAGAGATGACTGACCGGAAAAATAGAGTAAAACTCTTCGTGGCAGGCCACGGCGGCAGTTGCACCGGGACAACACTGGTGTTGACTTCAGTGACGATAGACGAGTATACATAAATCAAGAGCACATACCTCCAGCATTAGGTCCAGTAAGTCGTCTAGGGGATCAGGGATCTGAGGCGGGCATCAGAGATGGCTTGTAGAACAATAGCCAGAGAACGTACCAATACGCGAGACGCGCTAGGCGGTTCCTCTCCGACATTGAAGTACTTGTTGTCCGCGCTGCGGTCTCTGCCAGCGGTGCGCTGGGAGGTCTGCGGGGCCATTTCGGATCCCACGGACGTGCCACGCGGAGGTTCGTCAGAGCGCGGACCGCTGGAGTCACTAGGTGAGGTACCAGATCTTGGGCCACCAAAGAAGCTGCGGAAACGGGAGAATGATCCTTGAGAAGAGCCGCCGCCGCCCGAGCCTGGCGGCTGACGACGACGATGATGTTCATCGCCAGGCCCTATCATGTCATTGGCATCTGGAATGACATCTACTTCGCGCCGTAGTCCTAGTGGACCTGTCTTGAACTTGTAATACCTGAGGAACGTGCTCTGATTGCAAGGTTGCTCCGGTCGCTGCGCTGGAGAGTTCTTGGGAGGATCGAGCGTCGCGTCGGGAGGGTCTGGCGTTGCTTCTGGAGGATCAAGCTCTGTGAGATGATCCTGGGGAGGGTCGGCCGTCGCGGGCTGGTCTTCGTCGCGGAATGCTGGGCCCGACCGCTTTTCTATGGACATTTGAACCTCTTTGCCTCCAGATATATCGAAATTCGCGGAAGCATATGAACCAGCAGAGGCCGTGAACGAAAAGTCGTGCGCTTTACCGTAATTTGAGACGGCTGCAACTGCCCACTCGGTGGTCTTGAGCCAACCAGACACGAGGACAATTGCCTCAGGTGGAATGAGAAGACCCTTTCCCTTTGCGAAATCGTACCAAGAGGAGTGATATTTTGCGGTATAATCCCAGAATTCCGAGTTACTTTCGTACCACTCTTGATGGCCGAAGGAGCCAAGGATAGCAATTGCACCTCGGCTGCTGTGGCAATTGAACGTGTACGACGCCCCGGCAAGCTGGCTGTCAAGAATATCAGAATGAAGAGGTGCATAGCACAAGAGTGCACCCTTACGCAGAGTCAGAGATCCCCGCACCGAGCTTCCGGAATGTCGTAGTTGTGGTGCAGATTGGTCCTGGGTCGACATGCATCGGGTCGGAAAACAGATTTTCCTCGTTCGCCTTCAGCACCTCGAAGCCCTTCGGCATGCCACAAGCATTGAGAGTGTCACCCTTAGGACGCATAGCATTGAATAGTCGGATGAACCGTCCCTCCGAGACGTAGCCGACATCTCCAATCTCGACTTCGCGGGGCTCCTTGCCGTACCGGATGGGCTCAGGATGCCACAGCGGCAGCCCGTAGCCACGACCTACCAGCTGTTCTGCGTAGACGAACCAGGCAGCAGAGTTAGACATGGAAGGAGGAAAGACCTGGAAGATGTGGAGTGAGCAGAGCTGAACGACGAAATTATAATACATATCCTTTACCCATGGGGCAAAGGGCATCGATAACGTTTGATCAAACCTAGTAGACAAGAACAGCATTGCTGGCCATCTGATCCCTATCGGACATGCGCAGCATCTGGCGCAGTATGTGGAACCGTTCATAGCGGAGTGGCACTGGTGTGAGCATATAGCTGTCACTTAGCTCACCCTCGCCCTATTTCCGAAGGATTGGTCTGCACAGCACTCATGGTCGACGTGCACAGCTCAATCGTCCGCCTGGAGCAGAGAGCATACATTCTAGACAGCTTCTCCCGGGAGAATGTGACCAGTATGATTTGACATATTTAGTATAGACTCAACGGAGAGGGAACGGCACATCAGACGCGCCTGCGAACGTAGCACTGGCATGGCCGAGGATTACTTACCACCAGGATTAGATCAAACAAGTCATCTGGCGGGGGATCAGAGAGCTGAATAATGACACCCACAGAACCTCAGATGAAGAACGCACTGGTAAACATTGATATTGATTATCGCACCGAGGCAGCTGCGGAGACAGGGCCCGTGATGGCTGGGGGTAAGCGCTTAAGCACTGGTCTCATAGGTCCTCTCTCGCTTGCCACTTGCGCACGTGCATCTTGAACTCTAGGGTCTCAGGGCGGTCACTTCGCACTGGTGGCATGACCTTTTCGTGGCCGGTGGCTTATTGTCGTGATACGACGACTGGGCTGCGCGAGCGCGAACTGGTGAGTGGCACGCGGGCACGATCTAATACACACGGTGTTAGTCTGAGTGCGAAGGGAAAGAGCATGCTGTATAGCTATATACCTAATACACACGGTGTTAGCTAGACAGGGGTCCGGTAAGCATACTACATAATGCGCAAGGGCGACGAAGGGGACTTACTCTGAGTGCGAAGAGAAAGAGCACGCAGAGTGGGGATGCGAGAGGAGTCCTTATATACTAAAAGGAAGCAAAATTGAAAGTCCGCTAGAATGGGGAAGCCTGCTATAAAGAGGTCCGTGCGTGGGAGCACTACATATGATTGTCCAATCACTATCTACGTATTAGCAGCGCCTAATCTAAGATGTCCACCTTAAGTCCATGCCGGGCGGAAAGCCGAGCCAGAGCCACTAGGCGCTTCAACACTCCCCCTTGGCGAGGCGATACGGAACGAGGCCAAGAGACTGGGTGTGACGGTTGTGTACCTCAGCCGGTAAAGGCTTTGTGAGAATATCAGCCGGATTGTCGACACCGGGAATCCTAACGAGTTCGATCAGACCTGCTTCGAATTGCTCGTGAACAGCGTGAGCTTTGACGCGGGTGTGTTTTGTGCAATGCTTGACGTTGGGTGACTGGGCAGCATCAACGACAGATTTATTGTCGCAGTGGAGAGGGACAGGCTTCGCGAGTGGGTGTTCGATATACTCAGCGAAGATTTCGAGCCACTGTAAATGTCGGACTGCTTCGTCAGCTGCGAAGTACTCTGCGTCGAAGGTGTCTTGAGCCACAAAGCGTTGCTTGCGAGAAGACCAACTGGTCGCGCCTCTACCGAGTTTGTAAACCCAGCCTGATGTTGAGACGGAGTTGTCCTTGTCGTTCGCGAAGTCTGCGTCGGTGTAACCAAGCAAACGGCTATTGGTCTCGTCGTTCTGACCTAGACAGAGTCAATAGTTGGAGGTGCCGCGGAGGTACTTGAGAACACGATAGGCGGCAGCTACGTGTTTCGGTGAAGGGTTTGCCTGGTATTGGCAAAGTCGGGCGATGGCGAAGCCGATGTCGGGGCGAGTCCCGAGCATGGCGTACATGAGCGAGCCGAGAAGTGAGCGGTAGAGCTTGATGCGGTTTTGTGGGCAGTCCGCAGGGTCTTCCTCGTTCTTCTCGAGTACGATGTCAGTGCCGAGTGGTGTGGATGCGGGATTGCAGTCTTCGTATCCGAATCGCTTGAGAACGGACTCGATGTATGTTTCCTGGTCGAGGTATGTAGCTCGACTCCCCCTATCCCTCGTGACACGAATGCCGAGGTAGTACTTGAGTTCGCCAAGGTCCTTGAGTTGGAACCTTTCCTTCAGTGCCTCTTTCGTTCGTTGGATGAGATCGAGGCTGTTTCCCATGATAGTTAGGTCGTCAACGTAAACCACTAAAATTTGAGTGGATCCCCCTTGTTGACGGCGAATGAAGATGGATACGTCGCCGGCGTCGTGGCATGCGAATCCAATGTCCTCGAGACAGGCTTTGAGCGTGAGGAACCATGTTCGTCCCGCTTGCTTTAACCCGTATATTGCTTTCCGCAGGCGGCATACTTTGCCTGCGTCCGTTACGAAACCTTCAGATTGCTCCATGTAGAGCTCCTCGTCGAGTTCTCCATTCAGGTATGCTCTATCGAAGTCGATCTGGTGGATTTCCCAGTCCTTGATGGTCGCTAGGGCGATGAGGTATCGCCAGGACTCCAGACGGGTGACGGGAGCGAAGGTGTCTTCGTAATCGATGCCTTGAACTTGCGTGAACCCCTTGGCTACGAGCCTTGCCTTGTAGCGATCCACTACTCCGTTCTCGTTGCGCTTGACAACGTATACCCATTTGCACTTGATCGCCTTGCGACCCTTTGGTAAGTCGACAAGTTCCCAGGTGCCTTGTTCCAGGAGGCCGGTGACTTCGGCCTGCATGGCAGTCATCCATTCCGCTGAATCCGGTGCATCGGCTGCTTGTTTGTAGGTTCGCGGCTCTCCAGCGATGGAGGAGTCGCCTACGATCGCAGCGATGTCGCCCGGTTCCTTGCCTGTGTTCAGTGCTTCCTCGATGTCCGCTTCAGTCGCTCCGGGCCAAATGCTCGTCCATTTCTGAGTTGCTTTACGCTTGCGGGTACCGCGGCGGACGCCTGATGACGTCGTGGCATGCTCAGGGTTGGTGAAAGGATTGTAGTCCCACGAGGTAGTGTTGGGATTTGGCTGGAGTGGCGGAGGGGCAACGACGCAAGATGGTGAGGCTTTGGCCTTGCCTTTGAATTCAGGCTTGACCGGTGCACTTGGCGGGATTGGCGGAGCTGGATACAACTCTGTTCGAGGTGTAAGACGTGGTATCTGGGATGCTGTAGACGGTTTTGGTGTGGTGGGTTGAGTAGGAGGTGGTACAGGCTGTGGCAGCTGCGTAGGAGCCGGTGGCGTGTTAAGGGGTGGTAGTTCGAGTTCGACAGATGATGGCAGCGTGGATGTAGATCCGGTCGGTTGTGTCGAGGACGGTGAGGGTAGGAGTTTGTTGGGGAAGATTGACTCGTCGAATATCACATCAGTACTCGTGGTGATCTTTCTGCTACATTTATCCCATAGACGATAACCTTTAGAATTCGTCTCGTAGCCGATAAACACTAGGCTCTCAGCGTTAGCATTGAGTTTCTTGCGTTTATCCCCGGGTATGTGGCGATAGGCCTGGCAGCCGAAGACTCGGAAGTGGGACACGTCCGGTGTGGTGCCAGTGAGTCATTCCAGGGGTGTACGCCATGCAATGGCTTTCTTAGGGCCTCTGTTGCGTACGTGCACAGCTGTGCGAACAGCTTCTTCCCAGAATCCGTGTGATAACCCGGCGGTTTGTAGCATTGACTTAGCGGCTTCTACGAGCGTACGGTTCATGCGCTCAGCTTTGCCGTTTTGCTGTGGGGTACCGGGTATCGTGCGCTCGTGGATGATCCCAGATTTCTTCAACAAGTTGATGAACTCGTTGGACTGGTATTCACCCCTTCGATCTGACCGAAAGACCTTGATGACCGTGTCGAACTGTCGCGCGACAAGGGCTACGAAGTCTTTGAATGCGGAGAGGAACTCATCCTTTGTTCGCAGATAGTAGACCCATGTAATGTCGGAGCAGTCGTCGATGAAGGTAGCGAAGTATCGGTGGCCCGTGATGGACACCACAGACATAGGTCCGTCGAGGTCAGAGTGAATGAGGTCGAAGGGTTTGTTAGCGCGTGAGGTGGACGATGTGGGGAATGTACGCCTGTGTGCTTTGCCCAAGACGCAGCCTTCGCAGGGATGCGAAGGTTTATCCATATCGGCGGCGATGAGGCCTTTGACCGGAGAGGAATCAGCAGCGGCGAGCTTGCGTACTGCCTCCCAGTTCAGGTGACCGAACCGATGGTGGATAACGTCGAGCGAAGTGGTGTTGTGCGTGGAGACCGCAACAGATGGTGGAGGTGGAGTAAGGTCCAACCAATACTGACCGCGGGACTTAATGCCTATGCCAAACGTGGTGTTACCACGCTTGATTTGGGCTCGTCCTTTCCCAAAGACGAGATCAAAGCCTTTGTCTTCGATGCATGAGACGGAGATTAGCCGTCCGGACATTGCAGGGCTATAGAGAACGTTCTCTAGCCTGATGTTTACTGGTTTGTTGTCGACGAGCGTAGTGCCCTCGACAACACCTGAACCGAGCGTGCTTACTTGCATTTTCGCCTTGTCTGCTAGTGTTGCATATGTAGGCGACGCGAAGGTGTTGTACTCAGCGAAGTCGTTCAGGTCGTTCGTAATGTGTGGTGTACAGCCGGAGTCTAACATCCAGCGTTTCACACCGTGGAGATACCAGGAAGCGGAGTGAATTTCGGCCTCAGGAGCAGCGGCTCTTTCGGCGGTGACTACATGTACAGATGCGTGACCAGTACTACTACCGGACGGATTACTTTTACCATCCTGGATTTTGCCATTGCTGCCCTTCCGCGCCTCTTCGGCGGCGGCCTTTTTCTTTCTGCAGTCCTGCTCGTAGTGGCCTTTGTAGTGGCAGAAGTTGCACTTGCCCTTCTTGCCGTCAGGTTTGCCAGCTTTGGCTTTGCCTGAGGTAGACGTCTTCGGTGCGTGGAAGGCGGCGACGTTGGTCGAGGAGCTGCGACGTTTCGCTTCGTCGAGGAGACGGTTGCGGATGTCGTCGAGCTTCAAATCGGCGGGCTTGGTGACTGCGAGGATGGGCTCCACGACGTTGTTGAATGAGTCGGGGAGGGCCGTGAGCAGGCCGAATATCTGCAGGAGCTCC